GCCAGATTACAGCAGATTTAACAAAGCTGAGTGAAAGATGATTCTTAATTCTGTACTTCAGCACTGGGCAAAAGAGCTTGGTGGAATTTCATTTTGCTTCTAAATAAACATGCCAATTGTGCAAAAAAGGTATTTGGTAATACAACTCATAACATAAACTGAAACAGACATTTATACAGAAGAGATGATACACACTTCAAAACAAATGGAAATGATAGAAATCCCAAAATAACAAAATAAAACTATATAAATGCCTCCAAAACATATTTTCAAAACAGTATTAAAATGTGTGTTCCTATAGCTTGCAGGCTATTTCATCTTAAACTCAACAAATAGAGTTACATGTCTGACAAACGCCACGTTATGGGTCAATTATTTCAGTGCTCTCAATAGCGTTCAAAATTCTAGATATGAAGAAATACAAATCTCTAGTGTGCAATAGAAAATGTCATTCACATTTGCAGCTGCCTTTTTAAAAAATAAAATGTGCTGCAGTTCCTAAACATTTTCACAGCTGGGAAATAGAGAGCATTTTGTTTATATGTACAGTACATAGTTTTGCCTTATACTGTAGGTTTCTTTCATCGCAGTCAAACACTGTAAACATTTGAAAAAGATTGTAAATTTTGCAGGAACCACAGTAATTATACTGTCTGTCATTCTAAAATAAAGTATGCCATAGTGTCCCACAGAAAAAAAATGTAGTGAGATGTGTACTAAAATATAGTAGTGAGGGAGCATTTGGGCATCAATTGGATAGATATGATGTATTGATACTGTAGCATGAACACAGTTTGTCATTATTGCCTTGTAAATCATATATAAATAATTTTTGCATGTTTGTTGATTCTTGAGTGAAGTATTTTATGGATCTGTAGGATTTATCTCACAATAAGACATTAATATAGTTCTAAGGCATCAATGGGATCTTTTTGGCACATATCCTTTATGAATTCTGTCAATAAGATAATAAGTGAGATAAACATGAATTACTACATATAGACAAGAAATATTTCTGAAAGGTTGGATTGTTTTTAAATAAAGTTAATTCATCAATAAAAAGTGCTGACATAAGGTCCTTACACAGGAACAGGCCATTTCAAGGAAACTACAGTAAATTTAACTTTGGTTTATATCTATTCATACACAGGTGTATGTACTGTACTGTATAGTGTCTTGCAAAAGTATTGACCTCATTCAAAAGATATCCCATTTTGTTAAATTACAAATGAATTATGCACATTTGTATAGTGAATATTTTTATCCAAACCTAAGTGTTACAGGAGTGAAAGAACTTAAATGCCAGTAAAAATGGCGAAGAAAATTAGAAATTCAAATATGTTGTTTGTTTGCTGAAATAGGCTCCAGCTCCCCTATGATCCTGAACTGAAAGAAGACATTAAAAAATGTATGGATGGAATATATTGTTTGCAAAAGTATTATTTTTGTTGTGACAAGCTTACATTTGTTCACATGCAAAAAATGCTTTTATAAGTCAAACAATTAGGTGAATGGTCTCTGTCTGTGTGCAGTAATAGTGGCTCACATGATTTCAGAATATATACAGTACACCTATCTGTGTAAGGTCCCTCAGTCAGGTCATGATTTTCTAGCAGAGATTCAACCATGAAAACCAAGAAGCTTTCAGAGCAACCCAGGGATAAAGTTGTAGAAATGCACAAATCAGGGGAAGGATACAAAAAAAATTAAAAGACACTGCTTTGAGCACAGTGAACATAAATATTATGAGGTGGAATATGTATCATACCACCCAGCTGGGCAAAGAAGTAAATGGTTAGGGATGCCACTATGATGCAAACAGCACCTTAGAAAGGCTACAGAGTTCAATGGCTAAGAAGAAAGAAAATGTCCATGAGTCAGCAATATCCTACTTACTTCACAAAGTAGGGATTTAGTATGGCAAAATGAAAACAAGGAGGCCATTACAGAAAACAAAACAACACAAAATGTTAGGGATACTGCAAAAATGTTGTAAATGTTTTTGTGGTTATGTTGGACAACACTGGAAGCTGTCTAGTCTGGTTACATCTACCAGCTCATTACAGAGTCAATATCATTCCTACTAATATCAAGCATTGTGCTGGCAGCTTTATGTCCTGACAAACATCTCATAGAAAATCTGTGACAAGACAAAAAATCTGTTGTCCATCAACAGTTCCAACCAACCTGACCAAGCTTGATGGGTTAAAATTGCACTATCCAAGTGTGATAAAGTTGATAGAGACTTACGAAAAAAGACACATGTAATTGTTGCCAAAGGTGCTTCCACCAATTCTTGACATCTAATGCAATCAACCTATTTTAATTTTGGATTCAATTTAGATTTTGTTTTTTACATTTAACTTCATCCACTTTTCATTTAAAAGCATGAGAATATAAATATTCACTCTAAACAATGTACAGTATATCTTGTTTAATTCAACAAGACTGTACCTCATTGGAACAACAAATGACTTATGCAAAGTCCTATATATGTTTTAAAGACCTGATTGCTAAAGAGTTTGTTTTTGTGGTTTTGTACAGCTTTTTGTACCGTTTTTAATTACATTTTTAGTTTAAATTATTATTATATAATTAGCCAAACAGTTCCACTTTGGTGAGAATATTAAAAATACTACTCTTAAACAAATGTTTTTCAGTCAGAAAAAATGTAAAGTACATTATGATTTTAGTAAATTATAGTATGGATTTTATTTACTGTTTAGTTGGCCTTGGACTGTATTTTATAAATCACAATACAGATGGAAAAAAAAATCACATATTATATATATTGTATACATATTCCATATGTATATAATTCTGATCCCAGGAATGTGATTGAATGAAGGTAAATTGTGTCCTATAGAACTACTGTATTTACAAATGGTGGAAACATTCAAAGCCATTTCATTCCTGCAATTTCTTTCCTTTTTCTTGGTTCCCTTTTCCTTTTTTAGTTCAGAAAATGCAATAATAATTACTAGTAGTATAAGCAGCAGGAAAAGTTAGAATATACATCTCAATGCATATGTACAGTATATATTCTGTTAAGTGTGTATATATTTCCTATGCAAATCCAAAGACAGGGTGCTTACAATGTACAAACAGAACCAGGCAGGGCTCCCATGTTAAACCTTGAATGTTGTGTTTAAATGATCTACACGAATAGCTCTTGCAATTTTTTCATTAATAGAAAAAGAAAAAAAATATGTTCACATGCACTGTGAGACTAATGACCATTAGGTGGAATAGTTCTCGACTATTATGTTTTTACGCTTAATAAATACTTTTTAAACTTTTCTTTTTTGTGTATGACATTAAATGGAATAGAAACAAAAACAGGAAATATTTGGTTCAAACAAATCTATAAAGACTGAAAAATTGTACAATTGGCAATTTTACAATTGGGAGCCTCAAGTGTGAACATCTTTTGATCACTTAGGTGTTTCATTGTATCTATCCTTTGAAAACATTATTTTTTTGTGATAGGCTTATGAGTCCCACAGTCCAATATGAAACTGACCCATGATTGCTTGAAGAAATGCAGGGGACATTGAACCATAGACTAGAAAATACAACCAAAGAGGCAAAGGCAGCAAGCCAGTACTGAGTGGCTATGAAGGCCAGGAGTTTAGACAGTGAAGAGTTAGGATGTACAGATGGGCTGCTGCCAAAAAGGTCAGGAAATATGTGCCGCAGTTGAACGAACAAGGGCCAGACTTCCAGGATTCACAGCTACAGACAAGAGGTACTCCCACATGGATTGACCTGGATGGACATTGGATACACTGCACATTCCATTTATGTTGTAGCATTCTGAAGCAATACTATCAAATACAAGATTTTACAAAAGAACACTTTTAAAAATTAGTTTGATTTATCATATCCCTGGAGTTATGTCTATTATAAATGTTAGTAAAAGGGAAGGCAGTCTTTCTATCTCAAAAGGCAGCTACAAGTAAATGAGATTTCAGGATTTAATTTGAAAAAAAGTGCTAATCAATAAAGTATAAATTAAGGAACAAGTGTATTATGATATGATTGAAAACAACAGATACTTCTATCACCAAAGTTTTCTAAAAAGCCAGAGAACATAAAAAGAGCACATTAACATTCAACTGTTTAAGGAATTAAGTGTCAGCATTTAGCTCTGCTTTTGTCTTTTGAAAAACTGCATTGGTTTGGTTTCCAGATGAAATACAATATAAAATATTTCATTGCTTTCTTTTGGTCACATTTTGTGCATGTCAGCTTTTTATTTCTACACTGAATATACTGTATATTATTTTTAGCAAAAACATTTTTTCAATACAGTTAATCAATGTATTGATCTGGCCCATTATTTCAGAGTAAATCTAATCAACACCTTTGAAATCAACTCTAAGGCAGACTGTCGTCACATTTTACACAACGCCAAATAAATAAATAAAGTTCTCTGGATATCGCCTTATGTAAAACAAAGACAGCAATAGTGAAAGTCCAGTGCAACAATCCAGTCCATGTCTTGTCTCTTAAGTCACATTATACAGCATCCGAGATCATTATTCATAATGAAAGGAGGCATCTTTAAATTAAAAAGAGAAAAATCTGTAAAGTTGTATAGAAAGCAATTCAAATAATTATACTAACTTGCCTTGTATTTTGTACAGAAGAATAGGTAATGGGGGAAATGTGCAATGATTATTGTCTTGGTTAACTTGGTTTAAGAATCACACTCGTTCAAGTGATTTTCTTCAACTGTGTCCTACTGTTAATCTGCAAAACATGTGCTTTACTTAGAACGCTCCAGAGATCCTCACAATTCATGGAACCGAGGGAGCAGTCAGGATCCTCATTTCTCATAAAGACAGTTGTCTCTGATAGCAGACCCTCCTCAACTAGGCTTAACAGGGGCCCGAGGCGTAGCAGGATGTGAATGCTGGTGGAGAGTTGAGTGTGCGAGGGAGGGCTGCATCTGAAGAAGGGAACTGCCAAGGAAGGCCGTGGAGAGGTCCTCAGGAGAGTGCTCGTGACAGAGTGGGAAAGATCAACACCACAGCTGCAGCCACAGCCACCATCATCATTGGGTTCCAGACTCCTTCAGGCTCCTATGAACAACAGAGGAAAACACTTGCAGGGCACTTTAACTCACAAGAAATCACACACCTGGTAAGGAGGTAAGTACTGTATTTGGTCTTATCACAGAGTTTGTGTGTCAATTTCCCACATATAAAGTATACAGAATATACAGTATTACTTCTGACAATTTATAAAATATCCTTTGATAGAATTTCTCTCAGCCTCAAAACCCACAGCATGATATTTTGGTAAGCGAATATAATTGGACCCCTTTTTACAAATGGCTTATGTTTAATCATGATTACCAACCAGGAAGAAGGCTTGCTAACAAAGATAACATTGGACTAGGTACAGTAAATGAGATGTCCCTAGCGAGGATTTACCTATTATTTTAAACAGAAATTTTGAATTCTGGAAGTTCTTGGCTGGTAAGAGACTGAAATTGTATTCACTACTGGGTATGAAAGTAATGCAGCAGCATCAAAATGAGGATTGTCTTGTTTTGACCCAACCAGTAGCCTGCATAAATAGCAAGTGAGTAATTGAGGCTGACAGACCATCTTTTTATTTCAAATATTGGTATTTCTTGCTAGGACATTATGTAGTATTGTCTGACTGCCTTCTTTAGCTTAGATAAGACAATTGCAAGACCTCATGTAACTCTGGCAGAAATTTGCCGGAAGGTTCTAATTAATTAAATAATTAATTCTAATTAGTTGGAAATTCTTCAAACTGTTGTTGAAAAGTCAGCTATTACTAAAAACTACTTTATGAAATACCAGTGTACTATTATTATGTATTAATGTATTGTTCTGATTGCACTCATTATTTTAACATATGTTTTAATAATTGTTCATAAAGGGGTTGTTTTTAGACATTCGTTACACTGTAGACAGCACACTTGGTGTATGCCCTCCTACAAAAACATTTCAGTACCAGTGTTGAAATGAATGAAGTATGACACATGCAGACCAAAAGTAGTGCCAAAGTGATTATTGTAAGTAATGTAGGGAGTGAAAGTCCTTATAGGTGCTTCTAACTGAATGTTGTACATTTTAAATGTTGAAATGAAACTGATTTTCTTCCTTTTCACACCATGTGTGTGGTCTGCATAACATCCTTAGGGTCATGCATTTTAATAGAGAGCGTTTCTTGTTTGGCAAATCTGGCCTGTGCCATTCACTGAAGTTAATTTACTTATTTCTGGGTGGACCGGGGAGGTGTCTTTTGGAAGATAAAGAAATATCATACCGGTACCTTGTCCCCTCTAGGATGAGGTCTCCGCCCACCAGCACCAAAGTAGGGCCACTATAACAATCATTCCTATTAGGGGAATGGACAGAACAGGTGGCTCAGGGGTAGGAGAATTCTGAGGAAAAATAAGGGAATGTGAGGAATGAAAAGGACAGGTGAAACAAAGGCAGGCAAAGAAAGGGCGATAGATAGATCGACATTGGTATCAAGAAAGGTGAAGACACAGAAGCAGTGAGGCAGGGTGAATATGGAATAATGGTGTAAAATCAGAAAAGCATAAGAGACAATGTACAGCAAAGTGAAGAAGTGCAGTTAGAACCTACACCACACTGGGCACCTTGCTATGAATTAACCCCCACACACACACACGAAGAGATACCTCTACCAAAGTGCTGCCCATATTTGGTGCCATGAGTCACTTTTTGGGGTAAACTGATGTTTGAATCAAGAGGTATGGTTTTGAAGGGGTTAATCACAAGGTCCACAGCAGTTATGGAAGACAAATGACATGACACAAAGGTATTTCATTTAGTGGTGTTTCTTCTGGTGCAGAAGTCAAAACAAAGCCTTTTACTGTCCAGAAATTAAATCCACATTAAAGAAACACAGTAGTAAATTAATTTGCAACATGAATAAATAAAGTGCCAAGTAAAGGTTTATTCCATGCTGAAAAGAGAAAAAAAGAAAAACAATGTTTCAGCTGTGGAGCCTTCTTCAGGTATGGAATAAGGCTCCACCTGAAGAAGGTTCCACAGCCGAAACTTGCTTCTTTTCTTTTCTTCTCTTTTAAGCATGGAATAAACCTTTACTTGCTGTTTTGCAGCCTACGCATGCTGATGTAGCTACAGTACCTTCATGAATAATTAAAACCCATGTTGCACATAAATTTGGTACTGTGTTTTCCATCTCTTTCTCAATGAATTGTTATCACTGTTTAACTAACCACAATCATTCTATGCATAATATGTTGCAGTTATTTTTAAGAACAAAAAAGGTTTGTACACATTCATTTTTTAAATAAGAAGCCAACAGCTTCTTAAATCAACTATTAATGATTTAAAAAGCTATTAGAAACGTTTAAAAATGTAACGGTAATAGTGGTCATCATTTATATCATCATTATATTTAAAATTCTAATAACAAAAACAAAATACAATTGCTTGTGCAAAGAGTGCTGGCTAAGACGCATGATGAGAGCATAGCTGCTGTAGAGAAAGTTTCAGGATGCTTGTGTGTAATTTTTTTTATTTGTGTGTGATATTAGTAGGTGTAGGTATGTAAGCATGTGTGCAACTGATTTTATTGCAGTACAGTCATTAAAGTTTAAAAGCTGCACTGTTATGCACATACTTTCAGACGATGACAAAAATGAACAAAAATAAAAGAGAGAAGAAAACTTTTTTTTTAATTGTATAAAACTATACAGAGCAACACAGAAAAATGGCAAAGATTCAAGAATGCATAAGCAATTGTAATGTTTGTCACACATGACATTTATACGGTGATTATGGTAATGTTACAATAAAACTTTTTTAACCTCAGATACCATGGATTTAAGTTTTTTTTCTTATTCCTGTATATTTTCTCATGCTTTAGAATCTTCTGGCTAACCCTTTCTTGTCAGACATATATTGTGATTTTTAAACAAAGTATTCCTTTCATACTGTATTTACATGCTAATACAAAATAAAAGGTACCAGAACAGTAGTAATATTACTGTATAACATAAAGATTAAGTATTTAAAAGAGCAGTGTATGTGCTCGTCTTTTTTCTGTTGTTTAACCATGATTATAAACTAATTCTATTTTGTACATGCACTGCATGTTTTTCCCAGTGTAAAAAAAATCCAACAATGACTTAATTAAACCTGGAAATTTGAGGTTCAACCTACAGTAAATTGAACCAAGACCACCGATCACCGATCATGAAAATGTATGAAAATGTCTACTGACAAACCTTTATGATCATAACTTTTATTGATAACTGATGCTTATTCCTGCATTGTCCATGCAATTTCTGTATGGTTTGGCAATATGATGTGAGTTTCCCTAAGGTCTGGTACTTCAGAGAGACTTTATGCAATGAACTCACTTCTCCATCTTATCTGATGTACAGTATAGTGAGGTACAGTACTACAATGGAATGGCTGTCAAGGACCAGCTAACTGGGAGCTCAACTTCAGTGGTGAATGAAGTGAGTCCCCTCCTACCTGTAAAATGCTGCCAGATCCTTTTGGATGAAAAGTGCTATGAAATATGTAGGGGAAAACTATTGTTATTTTGTTGGCTGAACAAGAGAAACATCCTTAACTGGTTGATTAGGGTGTTGGCCAGAGATTCTTAATATCTGCGTTTTCCCACCACAGTGCTCGTCATCTTTGCTGAATGCCAATGGCAAAATGTTGTTGCCACTGTAATACTAACCAACAGGAGTTCTTCCAAATGGTAGCAATGTCACAGGATGTCCAAGTCTCTTACCTGCACTTTCTTCCCAGTGAGTTTCTCTAGCTCCTCCCGGCACTTCTGAAGTTCCCTTTGAAGTTCATCTTTCTCCTTCTGGCTTGTTTGGTATCGGCTCTGCAGCTCCTCCAGCTCACCCTTCAGTCCATCACACTGCAGAAGAGACTTGTTTTCAAAACTTGGAAAATTACTACACTAAATAAAAACAACACACTCAAGACAAGTTAAAGAAATAGAGCTAAGAACTTTTGAAAACATTTTGTATGATATCACTATTAATGGTGTCTCTGTTTATAAATATACTAAATTAGAGTTTTATTGAAAGATGTCAGAATGTTGATTATGGAGCAGAATGCTGCAAGATAATTAGAAATCTTTAAAAAATCAATTTATAAGTAAAAGATAAAACATATGATAGGCGAGGGGAAACAAGTTGTGTGGGGGATACAAATTTATCAGTATCTTATTCTTTTGTTCAAATACCATTCATTTTATGGGCACCTCATTCTATCATTATAAAACATACTCTTCGACTTGTTTCAGGTAGTTTCTCAGGAAGCATATCTTAAAGAATCCATCATTAAACAGACAATTAGGACAAGGTCAAATAATAATCTCACACTTCTGTTTCCCTAAACATATAAGATGCCTGGTTTCCCACCTGCACAGATCTTTTCTAGCAGTCAGATGTTGTTTTGTTGCAGAGGGACGTGTTTCGCACTTGGCAGAGCTTGGACCTTACCTTCACCATGTTAATCTCATACAGGAGTGGTGTCACATACTGGCATCTTCAACTTCACCCTCCACCAAAAACAAGCATTTCACATACTGCCATGCAACAGTATACTGTATGTGCTTTTTTTTTCAAAATAACCGATGTCATCAAGCCATCTAGAAACTCTGAACCTCTGCGGCAGTTTTGACTTCCTCTTTCCTTCCCTCTCTTCCTATTCCTGCTTGCTCCACTCTCCTTCTTCTTCCCCACTCCACCCTGCAGGTATGAGTGCACTGCATCAATATGTACCAGACTTGGGCATCCTTATTCATACTCAGGCTGTCCCTAGCACCCACTACCTAAGCTGCTACAGTGGGGTCCAACTGGTACGGTGTCAGCTCTCAATACGTTCCCCCAACCAAAGCTTCCAGCCACATACAGAGTTGATATTTTTTCTTCTTTTAGAGGTTTTGCTTGCAATACATCCTTATCCATTCTGTTTAGCAAATCTCAGCAAGTTGTAGCTCTCTTCCCACTTCTGTGTCATGTGACATACTGTACACCTTCCTTTCTACCACAGAATTCCAATCTCAAGATAGCCAGTTCTGCTAGTGCTGCTACCTCATATTCTGTCACCTGCATCACACGTTTCTCATTCACTGCATACCCGAATCTACCCAAATAAGCTCACGTCTGCATCTTATGCACTTCTCTTTCTTTCCATGCTACATGCATCTTCTGCCAAATTCCTTCAAAACTGTAGTTGAACTGATTTGTTAATAGCTCAGTGTTTGAAATCCGTGTCTGTGTTTTAGGGATTGTTTTGGGTGTATGATCTCCGACCAGCATTATCATTTCCTCAGTCACACGATTTAAAGTCAAAGTATTAAATATGTTAATATAAATGGTGTATAGTTTTATTGTGTGAGAAAATGGTGTTCAGTTAAACAGAAGCTCTTGAGGAGGTAAAATTCTAATATCACACTTCGGCTTCCCCATGTAGAACCCTTTCTTCCACTCCAACATCCACATTGCAGCAATTCCCTGCTCATCCTTCATAAGTGTGTGGTGGTGGTGAGGCGGGTTGTGACAGCACTCATCTCTGACCAGGACTACAATTTCCTCAGCCAGATGAGTTAAACCTAAAGAGTTTTGTACCTTATCTTTTTTATATTCATTGGCTTGTTTCATCATTAGAATCTGACCCAATGTAAGGACATTAGAGAACAGTTATTAATGAGAAGAGGTCGTTTGGACCATCTAGCCTTTATAGTAGTTAGTAGCCAACTGATTCAAGGATCCCATACATATATATTTTCAAAGAAGCCAAGGTATCGGCTTCAGCAATATGGTTGAGTAGCTTGCAACAAACTCTTAAAATCCTTTGTGTACTGTAAATAGTACCTCATCTTCTCAGTTTTAAATGGACTTCCAAATAGTCTCCAGAACACACGGGTGTCTAACAACACCAATAATTTGTATATCTTCTCTAGGCATACCTCATTCTGCACTTGCAAAGCCTTCTCCTCTGCTTGTTTTAGCTGGTCTCTAAGAGAATAAATCTCAGAGAAACCACCGTTCATACTTGTTGGTGTCATTGGTTTTCCGTCAAATGAGATATTCTTCTGAATGGACACATCCACCAGTCTGCAGTTTGTCCTTGGCTCTGTCATTGTCATGTAGCTGCCAGCCTTTCGCATTTCATATGGATCCTCAGTTCCCTCTCCAATGTCTTTTATGCCAGTTAAATGTTTCTCTTTTTCACTGTTCACTGTATCTTCTTTCAGTGCCAGATATACATCATTCGATCTGTGATGATGAAAAAGAGCTTTCTTTACATTCAGTATTTTACTGCATAGAGATGTGTAAGTTGTACATAATGGACTTACAACAAAACAATAAAATAAGTGATTTAAAATCATTTTGTGGACTATACGTAGAGTCAAAAATATAAAAAAAGGCATTTTTTTCCATAAAAGATTTTACAATTCAGGTTATGTCTCTAAATGGAATGTATATGACATATTCCTTGTTATTTTTGTTCCCCACAAAAAAGCATCAACAGCTTCTCAATTCCATGGATTGAAGTGTTTTAATTAGCATGCTGGGTAGACCACTGCCAGAAACATCAATATTTTAATCATGCCTAAGGGCAAAGCAGGGCCTTTGCAGCCAAATAGTGGATGCAAAGAGTTCAGACAACTTTTCTCAATCCTCACCCAGCTCTCTGCAGCTGCAACAGTTTCAGTTTCTCAAGAAGCTGTTTATTTTCATCCTTCAGAAACTCTGACTCAGCCTTCAGGCTCCGGCATTCCTCCCTCAGCGACTTCAGGTCACCTAAAATCAAGTCAAACAGCAAAGGGTTCAAACAGATCTCTACACTTTTCTTGTGCATCTAGGTGGGTATTACCTCAACATTTAAAAAACCTGTTGCATGTTATCATTATTAACAAAACTGTGCACCCTAAATGATGATAAGAATAAATTTATGCTATTTCAATTAAAATCTTTGTGTGAGACTATGAACTATGTTCAGATGGTATGTGTCAAACAGATCTACTCTTTATGACCCTAATATATTTATTAATATGATTGATTAATGCTCAATATGTTGCATCTTAACTGACAACTAAACTCTGTTAATTCGGTTAATTGTACTTGCAGAGTTTAAAATAGCTGTTTATATTGTAATATCATTTATTGGAGCCGCTAGCAAAGCAAGGGAGCACTCTTCACCACTGTACACCAATGGTCAGGCTGTAGAGATGGTGGAGAAGCTCCCAGGCACCTTCTCCATCACTGTGTGGTTTTGGCAATACTTCTGCCCAGAACAGGAAGCAGCTAGAAAGAATAGTGTATATCACCTTCAAACCTGTAGGAGGCCACCTTCCCTCTGTTGACTCATTCTACCTCTCTAGACTGAAACGTGACGCTCTAAAGATCTTCACTGAGTCCCCCAACCTGAATCTACCTGTTTTTCTTTCCTCCCGTCTGGTAGTCGGTTCAGGTCAATCAAGACGAGGTCTACTGGCACCTATTGTACAGTGCCTGCTAGCACCTACCTTTCATAACAGTACCTACCCTGAGGCTGTGAGATGCATAAACTCTGCACTTTAATTTTGATGTTTTTGAATGGCTCATTGGTATCCTACCAAGCCCCACCATTACTGATTTTTTACTGGTATGTATTTAGAATGATTTGTAAATGTGTTAGTGGATGCTACCTATTATCATCTTTATGTTGTATATTTGTTTTGTATGTCTTTAATTGTTTGAGCTCACCTAACCAAATTCCATGTAGCTGGTTGTTATGGAAATAAAGTATTGAATGTGAACTTGTTACTTTTAATCTCTTAATAGTTAAGCATTTTAAACATTGTAAAGTGGAAACAATATAAAACTGAGCCTTGACGTTGTTGTCCAGAACAATGCATAACATTAACATTGCATGCCAGGACGCTGGAAAATGAAGTTGTGGTCCTGAAATGTTGCTTGTCAAACAAAAGCTTACTACGTTTTAGGAAGGGTTTGAGTGTTATCTGTTCATTCTGGCCTAAAATGTAAAGTATGTAAAACTTTTACAACAGAAATAATTTTGTCTTTTATGAATATATGTGTAATTCTACTGTTACAATCTCTACAAGCCTGGAGTCAGTAAGCAGTGATGTGAGAAAGGTTCAGAAGACTTAATTATTCTGGGCTACAGCAAGCCTTCCATTACCTATTGTATACTCCTTGGAGCACAATCCCCGCTAGAGTCCGAACTGCTGCTCATCATAATGAAGGGCAGAACAACAAACAGGAGATTGCCAGCAGAGGCTCTACCGTCAGTAATGAAAGTCATATGACTGACATACCACTTTGAGTGCTATGCAAAGTGGCCAGGTTCAGCAAGAACTCTGAAATGCAGCTGGCCTATGCAAGTGGTGAAGATGGAAGGATACAGGAACCCACCATCCACTCACCATTTTCCCAGGAAAATCGAAAAAGAGTCATGTTCATCAGGAAGAGACATGCTCAGGCTGCCAGATGAACCTACTGTAAAACTCCCGAAGTACATTCAGAAAAGTTGGCCATTCTGTCTCCTTCCAGAGTAGGGATTGAAGTCTACCCACAATGTAATGCTGTCATCAGCATGCTAGACAGGAGGAATGATTTTGACTGGGTGATGTGCTGTGCTGGGTTTGCACTAGACATAATTTGCATTTACATCAGAGATTTCTGGCTCTGTCTCATCTGAACATGACCTTTTGCCATGTTTGCAACATCATTTTAATGTATTGCTGCAAACTGCATGCATGGTTTGAGATTGGTTTGTCAATCTGCCATACAGGCCAGCTTTGTGAAGTACCAAGGATATTATTGGCTCCTGAACATTTTCTCCCATCTCACCCACTGAACTCGATTTTCAAAGTCTCTGTTGATTCCACTTTATATTGATCAACTTCACTGTGAACAAAGGGACATTCTGTGTTTTTTTCATGTTTTATACCATTCTCTTGATCTTTGATTATCTAAAACAGTATCTCCAAGTTGTTTAAAAGAGACAGGAGTATTAATTCATAAATCATATAATCCACCATTTTTACACATTGCTTATATTCAACTCATAGTGTGACTTATCAAAGTAAGTTCTGGCACCTGAGCTGCTTTTGTGTCATAGTAAAGGTAGTGAATACTAGTTTTTTTTTTATTTTCATCTGTTTTTATCTGCTGAAATTTAACTTCTTTCACCCATAAAAGTGTTGCAAGATGAGCATGTTTTGCTTAAAATTTTCACTTTTTAAGTGAAGTATTTATATATACTGTATATATCATTTGTAATTCAGAGGGGTGAATACATTTGCAGTAATTTGCTATTTCTTCCAGGGTCTGCTAAGCCATCAAAACATTAATAAATCTAGCTTTTTAAATCTCATTATTTTGTTGTTAGGCATAACAAGAGTCAATAGCATTCTCCTGGAGCTGTGAAATATCTGATTTACACTCAGTAGTGTTTTCACGGTTGCAGTTTTTGACTGCAACTGAACAGATTAATTACATTCCTTAGATATTATCATTGCTTAAAATTGGTTCTATAAATATTGGGAAATATTTATAGAAACAAACTTTCTCAGATTATTCTTTAAACATTGCATCTACTTACTAAAGAAGTCCTTATGCAATACTGTCAGAATCACATTCTAGAGCTGTACAATCCATGCCATCTCATTTTTACCCTAATTCAATTCAATACCCACAAACAGTATATGTCAATAATATTATAGATCTGACCTTCGGAAAGTTTTAAGGAAACATTTCGATGTTTGCAGAGAAATTGCTTAATCATTGGTTTGCATCTTTGGATTTCTTTTCAAACATCAGTTTATTCTCCGAATGTTCATTACTGTAAAGCAGTCCAGTCCACTAGAAACCTGACCCGAAATTAGGTCTGTATCAATAGAAGATGAATGTGTTTGGATTAAATATGAACTAACTGTATGCAATTACAAAGAATGTGATCTAATTAAATAGTATGCAGCAACAGTATGAAGTAATAAAACAAAATGATAGTCAGAAATTATGGCTTAATCAGGAACCTCTTTCCAGTTGTACATCGTCACAAATATGATACCTACCACGTTTGGAGTCAATTGATTTTACAGTTCTTAAACAGCAGACACTTTCATAAGAGGCTGTGTTTTGCCATGCATGATCCATAGTAAGTGAGAAAATGATCAAAGCTAACTTGAGAGGTGCAAATCATAGGCAGCTTTTGTTCATGAAATCTGCCACATTTTGGTTAAATCAGTGTAGGAATTCTCAAAATAGTTTGTGTTGTGAGAATAAAACTGTGGTCATTCATTCATGATGTACAGTACACAGGAATGACATAAGATGTACTGCATAATAGTACGCTTACTAGAATGATATGTACTGTACATACTGTACCACATCTGGTGTTAATTGGCCAAATGTTTGTGATATGGGGCATGTAGCAACAACAAGGATATTCATCTACACAGGAATATTTTCACATACTGTATATTTATCCTGTTGGTACTAAAATTATACCCATTGGTTTTGAAGTTAATTGCCGAAATGGTTTTTGAGCAGGAACAGTTTGTGTAGTCTGCTGAACATATGTTTGTGTTCATGTACAGGTCTAAAACGTATTGCAGCTATCTTTGAGATGCAAATTTGAAAAAGCTTTGGCTGTGGTTGGTGCTGCCAAGTTTTAATTCAGTCTTCGCAGCCGTTCACAAAACGAATATCCTCAAACGGTTTTGATGGTTTTGGAATAAACAGGCCAAGTTGCCATCTTGGTTTTCTCAAGACCCCAGATTATTGTCTCAAAGTTAATATCATATCTGTGCCTGCTAACTTGCTTAGTTCAGGCAAAGTTGAAGCCTAATTTGCACACAACAGCGTTTTCCAGGGCTGTGGTTTTGGCTGTTCAACATAACTCTGAAACCTCTAGACTTACAGCACTCCAGTAATGGCGTTTCAGATCATCGGAGGTTTTCTGTGGATCGTTGTTTTTAGGGAGTCAGGGGCTCACCTTGTAGGGGCTCCACGTCCTCAGTCTTGGTTCCCACACCTTGACTTTTCATGTGAATCTCAGCTCGCAGGCTGGTGATCTCCAGTTCGTACTCCTGGGTGGTGGCATGCAGGCGCTGCAGCTCGGCCCTGAGGCGGCACAGCTCTTCCTGCAAGCTGGCAATGTCATTCTCCCGCTCGGCCGCCGCCTCCTCCGCAGCCTGCTGCAGGACCATGACCTCCTCCTGCGCAGCCCGCAGCTCCTCCTGTGCTTCTGACAGCTCGCTCTCCTTCTCTTCCTCCAGACTGTCCATCTCCTCCTGCACTGAACGCAGCTGGGCTGGGGGAGACAACGGGACCACCTCAAGATCCAGTAACTCTACGTGCACATTCAGCTATAAAACACATTTGAAAATGAATGGCTTGGTAAACGGTTCTGTTTTTTTTCATACTCCCGGAGCTATGTACTGTATGTGTGGCTCCTGTTGACCAGTCTGTGATTTGCTGTGTGATTAGTTTCTAACATGTCTACATGTTAGAACAATACAGCTAAAAGGCAATAAACTATTTTTCTCACATTAAGTTCTCACATTAAGAAGATGATCATTCCATTGGCACCCTAGTTAACCAAGTTCAGGACACATTCCGAAGGCATTTATGCATATTGGAGACAGAGCATTGTTTGCTTGTCACACAAACATTTTACAAATACTGTACTTCCTGCAGCTGACATTTGTGTATACTGTATACATCTATTTTACCAGTCAAAATAAGAACTTAAGTTTTAAAATGATTTTTAAGGATCTAATTATATCAAGTCCTCTTTACTGTGACAAAAACAATAGTAATGGATGGCAGTTTGTATTGGAAACTTCCAACTACAGCCTTTGGCAAGATGTGCAGTACTTGAATTCTCTTCTTGGCATCCTTGCAATTACATCCTTAAACTTCTTGATAGTAGATACCAAAGTACAGCAAGTATTAGATTCAGTTCTTTTGTGGATTATTCTATAGCCACCCTCTTTCTTGTGGAGCTCTGTGACCTTAACTATCATGATGTGTGCTACTATTGAACGCCTTCCTTGTGTTACCTCCCTTCGTACCACAGGGCAAGAAGAAACTTTCGAAGGTCTGTATATAGTTCTGAAGATTTTCACTTCGATTTTGTTGGACTTCATTTAAAGAAATACTTAGTCTTGTGAAGAATTTCTGATAAATACTGTAAATCAATATTTTGTTTCTTCTGTTATTATGATTACTGTAGAATAGTTTTAAACACATTAACTAATTCTATTCTACATTATTTTTGTTTCCCATCTCATTGGCAGAACTGTATATAAAGTATACCTCTGCAAAGTGCTGATTTGGTTGTTAAAAGCTTTCTTTTATACAACAAATGGCAAGATACAGTCAACTCCATTTTTCACTTCTGGCCCTGGTGTTATTTTGGTATTTACAGTCTTCACATTTAAAGTGTTTTTTGTAATTAATTAGAACACAGAAGGTAGACCTTCAAGCCTTATGTGTGAATCCCATAAAATGACAAACTGTCAATTTAATTGCAAACAATCAGCACTTCAGAAATCACATGTGATGAAATCTGTTTGCACAGATATCAGGAAAATATTATTTTCAACCTTTGCAAGCAAAGAAACAGCATATATATGAATATCAAACATTTAAAGTGAGTAATTCAAATGAAATTATTTTAAATTCATAGCTTTAAAAATACTTTTATAGATATTTTAGACACCATGCAGAATTCTAAAATCTTTGAAGCTATCTTTAATTTGTTCTATATTATAGATTTATACATTTTTATTAACATATCACACAGAAGACAGAACAATGTATTTCCACTCCTTCTTACATTTGTACTGGCTTGTATACTGTGAAGATGAAATCCAGGGCTTTGAAATAATGCTGTGATTGGTGTGAATGATTCCCCAAATCTTATATGACACCTTTCTGGCAACAGATTGAATCAGAACTCATGCAGTATTTAAACATTGCTTTTGCATAGTCGTATAACATTTGTGTGTTTTGTGCTGACTAGCTTGGTGGCTTGATTTGGTGTCTCAATAGAAAACATAAATGAAAACACTTCTGTGCTAATGCAATTACTATAATGATATTAATGTGGTGTCTAGTGCCAAACCCTTTGGCATGCAATGAACTAATCAAGAGAACACTTGCTGCTGAACTTCACCGGCTGGTTAATGTATTCAATATGAACCTGAAAAAAAACCTCACTTCCAATACAATACATTGTAGTTGTATTTTATTTTTACTTAGTTCATCAGTTGACTCCACAAGTAGCTTTTTTTACTTCAAGCAGCACGAAAGAGCTGATAGCACAATTCCAGTTGTATAAACGGAGCTCCTCACACTACAGTTTGAAATTTCTTTATACTATAATATCAATATACTGTACATTATATGTTTGTCTTGAAACTATACAGTTCATGATATAAATCAAAAACTTTATTCTATGATTTATCATATTGCCAGGATTCAGTCAGTATAAGAAGTGCAGAAGTCGATAAAAAAATATTCAATGAACTCAATTTATGTTACTTGACAATTTCATTTCACCTCTGAAATGAAAGTTTCTCATTTCACCTCTGACGGCCATGATCACACTGATCGCTCCGTCTGTGTTCTCAAAATAGGGTTTCTTAACTCCTATAGCAGAATTAGAAACTAAAATTATCCTGAAACTTCGTTCACACCTTCCCCATTCTCTCAACGACAGACTTGTTTTTTTTCTAATTCTCTCTATTCATTTGTAGGTTTTGTTTCACACCTCTCCTCACCTCTCTCGACCTCACACCACTTGATTGGCCACTCTGCCTCTCCCCTGCTCCCGCCTCCTCCTCTATCCAGGCTTTTGTTTTCCCATGCTATATTATCTTTGCTGACTGCCCCATCTTTCTTACACCCAAAGAAGGCTCCACAGCACGGAATAAACCTATCACTTTCATTTATACAGCTGAATAAGGCTCTCCCTCATAGTTGAGGATGATAGATGTCCATGGACCTGAAGATGTCTGATCAGGGCAATGTGGGATTCCAGTTGCAATCCAGTCATGGTTAACTCTCTTTCTTCCTTGTTTTGACAGCTTTGGTTCTCAAAGTGCTCTGCTCCTTCCCAGACATTCTTTCTCCATTTAGTTCAAGGGCCAAAGGTTGTAATCTTGCAGGAGTCTGGAGGAACAATATCAATGTTGCCTTTCTCTATGTTTGATTTCACTATTTAGTCTTCTGCCCTTCTCCGATGTGATTGCTTTGGGTTTTCTGGGAAAAGAGGGCCTTCTCTGTGAGCCTGAAATCTGACATCTAGACAACATCTAGGGAATACTGATGTTGCTGTATCTGTCCTCCCTCTGAATACATAAAATCTTCCATAAAAACCATTGCTGACGCACATCCAATCCATTTTAGTGAGTCTTGTTCATTGACTATGTTTTAACACCATACAGTATGGTATATGACACAACAGACAGATTTCAAACAGACTTCTCATCTATAAAATTTTAAGATTAATATATGGTTACGACACAGTACAGTGTTTCTTTGTTTATATATTATTTTCATGTGTTATATATCTTTTTATGCATCTTTGCCAGAGTAATATATCTTTTCTATGGCTGAGAACTCCTTAAATATGCATGTAGAGCAGCATGAAAAAATAATATCTTGGTGTCTTATTTTAGACTTCACACTTAAAGACTTAAAATCAATGAATACAAATGGACTATAATTTGGTATCATTACCTTGTAATCTCTGTATCTGTCTGGTGAAGGTCTCAGCCTGCTGTGCACTGGCCAGCCTTTCATCCTCCAGCAGCCCTGTTGGTTGGGAAATTGGAAATGATGCACTTAGAGGTGTCCTACACGGACACGGAGAACACTTTCTAACATTCATTTAGAAAAGTTTCAGAAACAAAAATCCATTTAGAATACAAAATATTATGTGAATCTGCCAAAAATTTCTGTAGACCTAAATTTCAATACTACTCAACAGTTTGCATGAGATGATGTGTTTTTCTGTAACATAGTTCTTAAATGTTTTTCCCATTTTGCATTGCCTTATAAAATGAAAGTCACAGTACATGAATATTTTGGATTTAGGCCATGTAAAAAACAATTGGCTTAGTGACCTTTTTTTTTGTTTCTGTTCTTTTGTTCTCCCCTTGTCTGACTTCAAGGCTACAGCATGTGACATTACTTTAAAAAACTCCTAAACATGTTTGTGAACAGTAAAAATCTACATTTTAAGTTTGTAGGTATCTCACTAAAACATTCCTGAGATTTATTTTACTATTAAAAGAAATTGAAAATCCCCTTTTTGGAAGTCATTTGGGATCTAAAATATTTACAAAATTGTAAAATGCATAGAGAAAGTGGACCTATGCAGACTTCATATCATTTTTATTTCTTTTAGTTTCCTCTTTTAAAATACATGCAATTCTAGGGACAAACAGTCGTGCTTCTTTTTAAAACTCTGGACACAGAGAAGCCTTTATTTTTGTGGAGTGACAGTATGTGCTGAAAGGAGGTGACCCACTGCAGTCCAGCAAGCTGTGACTCAGCAAGAATTAAAATGGCAGCCTTGGAGCTACTCTGAAATGATACCGTGGGCGCAGAGATCCGAGCAGCTGAGCATTCCCTGAGAGAGCCCAGCAGTGATGTCACAATAGAGTCTTAAACAGCTGTCTACACAATGTATGCACTGGGACTGCAGCTGTCAGATGTGGGAGCATGTAAAGTTTAACTCACCTTCCCCTGTACAAACTGCTCTCAAGTGCAGCAGGCAAATGAATCCTACTACACATTTTACTTAATTTACACGACAGAAACCTATTGTTGTTGACAGATTCTAAATGGATGCCCATCTTTAGAATATTGTGTGCCACATTGTGTGTGGGGTTTTGTGTTTTGGTCACCACGTCACAAAACAAATATTACTGTTATTAAAGGAAAGCCCTACAATAAGGCTAAAAGAAACCTTCGGAGTTCTAAACAAAGACCATTACAAGGCAGTCTGACCAAAGTATTCAAAATCCTATCAATTACTGTACATACTGAACATGAAGGGAAACTAGGTTGAAATGCATATATAACTTAGAAGAGGATGCACTTCTTTACACAAAGAGTTAGAACATACTGTAAGAAACGTTACAAACAAGAAGAGGTATTCTATATATAAATATAAATCAATTTATACTGTATATTAATTCTCTAAAAGTATCAGTTGTCTTTCCTACCTTGCAATTCATTGAAGCTCTCCTCATGTTTCTGGGAGAGTTCTTTTGCCTCCTCTAGCTCATTCAGCAGCTGAAGAACCTGGGACCTTAGCTCTTCCAACTCCTGCTCTTCGGATATAAGTTCCTCACCATAGTCTCCTCCTGCCTTCAGGTTCCTTTTTTCTTTCTCATCCATCGCTTCTTTCTCCTCTTTTCCCTCCATTTCCTTTTGTGCTTTGCTGTCGTTGACTGCTGTCCCCTCTTCTTCCTCCTTAACCCCTGCCACCTCTTTCTCTTCTTCCTTGTTATTAATTTTCTTCACCTCTTTCTCCATAGCAGTCATGTCCTCCTGCCCAGGTCTATCAGGCCTCTCATCGCAGGCGTCCTCTTTGTTCAGAAAGAAGTTGAAAAATGGTTAGCCACCACTGAAGGAAAGAGGCCACAGTTCCATCGTCATGTTAAGATCTATATAAGTCTTCTTTATTTACAAATGGACGTGGATTTTACACTACCAGTATAATACAGTAAGACAATAGGGGGTGTTGGTTTTTCTAGTCATCAGAAGTTCATACAGTATTAGCCTTTCTTTTGATGTCATGCCTTCCATCTTTGGAATTCTCTCAGTTTACAGTGATTAATCCTGTACTGCACAGGAAAAATGAAAAACAGCCACTTATTTTTTTAAAATGCTGCAACCACCACAGATCCTGGCAGAAGGGTTAGACTCTGACAAGCCTATAGAAAGTTGCAGAAGTCTTCACTCATGTTTTACTTTAAGAGCCAGCTTATCAACTAAAACTAGAGAAGATTCATTTATGCACCATTCCCCCGATGCAGCTACCAAATTCCCTTCATGAAACTCCGTGGAACAAAATCTGAACAATTTGCTCCAACTCATATTAGAATTAAAATGTTTGTATTTTTGTTCTCTTCAGAATATTACTCATATGCATTAATGTCTTTTCTAATCTAAGTAAGAAAAAGCAAATGTGCAACTTTGATTTTTCAAGCATGATTTTTAGAAGGCATCGTTTTCTGGTGGATTGAAAATATGTGCTTACAAAATTGCAAAACGTTCAGAACTCATTTGCTCAGAACTTAATTGGAACTAAAATGCACAAGCTTAGATCTCCAATTTTAGTTTCTAGCACAGGATTCCTGTGGATTTCAGAACTATATCAATGCATACCCCAGTTAAAAATACAATTTCTTCCATCCATCCATTTTCTAACCACTCTATTCAATTTAGGATCACAGGGGAGCCAGAAATTATTTCAGCAAGCAATGAGCGGGGTACACCCTGGACCGGATGCCAGGGTAGGGACTGAAACACACATCACACCAATCCAATTTTCCCAGAAGCCATTTAACCTACCAGTATGTCTTTGGATTGTGGAAGGAAACCCACACAAACACAGGGAGAACAAACAAACTTCACACAGATAGCACCCCAGTTCTGGAATTGAACCCAGGGCCCCACCAATACAGCAATACTAATGCATGGCATCAATTCTTACCACTGTGCCATATTCTTATCCAACTGTATATATACTATACACTTAAAAATGACAGCAAACAAATTTATTACAAGACTGCACAAGATTCATACATAAAATATTATCAGCTTTCAATAACATTTATAATGCTCTGCTGTGTGATATCAGAGGTGAAAGGCTGATCTGGAATAAGTCTGACTATTTCAGCTTGGCTTTTAAGTTCCCCTTTAAACAATTCTTTGTTTCTCTTATTTTATTTCTGTACTCTTTTTTTGAGTATATTACAACAGTCATCACACTAACCTACTGTCTAAAAATAATTCTCATTTGTTTGCACTTACAATCTACCAATTATCGCTTCCACAGTTTTCACAGTCATATCTGGCTCTTCTTGTAACGCCTGTTTGTACCTCTTTAATGTCTTATCCTTATTTGAATCATGATTTGGAGGACCTGCAATGCTAGAATCCAAAATGCAAAACACCTGTTCTTTTTGTCAGCGTTTGGTCATGAACCCATATGTAGTAAAGCAATTCCCCAAAATTGAAAGATATACAAGGACTGGAAGATCGGGGAATAAATAAAAACTTCTCAACATAATCCTGTTTCAATTTTTAAATGTTCAATCACGCCATCTTGTGGCTCAATAGAAAAAACAACCTCAGAATTAAACCGTGAAATTAGCTTCTCAATAAAATTCGTATCTCGCGGCGTTGCGGAAGGGTGAATTCCACAGGGTCGTTCACAGAGAAGAATATTAAATTGTCAGTATGTACTACTTTCTTCAAATGGTTTATAAAGCGCATTCTTTCATACCAGTCCTGGATGTACATAAAAACAGCTGACATCCACCTGAATTCTCGGAATGTCAGCAGCAAGATGGAAGGAAGACAAACAGTCACGATAAACATGCAATACGAGCTGGGTCATCCAGGAGAGAATATTCAGCCAAAGAATCCCTCCTGTGTCTCGACCTTCTGCTCCTGCTATCCTTCTGTCACTCAAGCCCAAACAGAAGGCATAGTCTAAATATAGTTGCTTTTCTTACTAATTTGCAAACACTGACAGCTGCATGTGCTTCAAGCCTATTTTTCCTCTGTATCAGTTAACTTATATTTTAATTCTTTTTATACGGTTTTCATTTGGAGCCGTATTTTCCATTTAAAATTAGTTTCTACTTGGATCGAATTTCCGGTGTAAAATGAGAGGAAAGCGCTAATTAAAACTATGCACTTTCTATCCATTACTTTAATTTATACTTCACTTATTTTACTCACACACCAAAGGACTGAAGTGAAGTAATTACTTCTCTGACTTGGAAAAGTACAACTGCCACAACACCACACACCCACACTTGTTCATTTTCAACATGGATTCCGATTCGTCTGTTATCTTTTCTCATCTGGCCACGAAGCTCAGAATAATAGTCTTTATTTGATCGCATGTAATTAATGATTGCCTTCAATGCCAAAGAAAAAAATATTGTCAAGAGTGGGAATGAGCAAGAATGTCACATGATATTGTAGTTTTATGAGGCATTATGTAAAGCTTTGCCTGAGTTCTTTACCGTTTTATGAGGGACACAGAAGCAGATAGTTGCTTTCAATTGATTCAGAGTCACCACATATGTCAGTGAGAGAGAACGTTAACTTGAGAGTTCAGAGAAATGTGTTTTATAAAAGGGAATGCATAAAAGGGGAGAATATCTAAGCAAGTCTGATATAGAATACTGTGTCTAGCTTGTGCTCCTGTTGCCAGGCAACGGGGATCGTATAGTACAGTACATACTGTAACACTGTCATTTTCAGTCCTGAGACGGCTTTGATCATTCTCCACCTTTACAAAAATGCTATTAGAGTAAAATTACAAGAACACTAGAAAAAATAGTTTCAACAATTAAAATAGAACTTGAACTTAACTCTTAAAGAACTTAGCACTTCAACCCAGTCTCCGATTCAGCAGATGTCGTCTTCTAAGTACTTTGTTGCTACAACAGGTCTGGCCTACAGGGCTGCCTAATCAAGAAAGGTCACTGGCTTAAAGATTTAGCTCAGGTCAGACAGAAATAAAATCCCCTTATCCTATTATATGTAATACCTATTTCACAGTCAGTTAAATGTGTTCCTGTCTGTGTGCTGGTACAGTACGTTTTACAGAATGTATATTGTGCTCTTTCACTAGTTTATTGCAATAATAACTTCAAAGATTCTCTCTACCTTTCATCTGTAATGAAGAAAACTATCAGAAGAAAATCTAAGATAAACTAAAAAAGTACCTAAAAATTGAATTGAAATTTTAAAGAAAAGAGATAGTAAATCTATACAGTTTGTCAACACAAACAAAAATGCTGTCATTATAAAATGAATGTAGTATGTATTGTATATATTGTACAGTGTCTTTCAAAAACATTCTTCCCCATCAAATGATGTCCAATTTTGTTGATTTACAAATGATGTACTGTATGCTCATTTTTAATGTTTATTTTATTTAAAATGTAAATACTTCAAATAAACAGTTTTAAGGATGAAAAAGTTAAATGTTAGCAACAACTGCAGAGAACATAAAAAACTAAAATATGTTGATTGAATAAGTATTCGTTCTCATTACTATACTGTAGCAAACCCAAATTAGTTAAGACTTCGATAAGTCCAACGATGAGTTGAATGGCTTCTGTCTGTGTGCAGTAATACTGGTTCACATGATTTTAGAGTATAAACACTTGTCTCTGCAAGATCACTCTGTCATCTCGGTCTGGTACTGAATTTCTAGCAAACATTCAACACTGAAGACCAAACGGCTTTCGAACAACTTAGGGATAAAGTAGGAAGGCAGAGATTAGGAGCAGCTTATAAAAAATTCAAAGGCAATGTCCCTATGAACATGGAAAAGTTGATCATAATGAGGTAGTAGGTGTATTTTCAATGCTTAGATTGGGCTGTCCCTCTGGGTAAACTGAGTAGTTGGGAAAGTGGTTGTGGCCACTGAGAGGCCTGCAGTGACTTTGAGAGAGCTACTGCGTTCAATAGCTGAGATGAAAAAAATACCATGAATTGACAATATCCTAGACAAAACACAAAGCTGCCCTGTATGGCAGAGTGACAAACCCTTCTCAAATACAATATGGACTTGCAACAAAACAAAACATTTAAGTGATACTGCAAATGCAAACATGTGGCAAAAGATCTTGTGGTCAGACAAAGTTGGAATTCTTCTGATATCATATTTGCCAAACACAAAATACACGCACTTCATCACCCAGTCATTGCCATTCCTCTGGAAAAATTTTTTTTTAAACTACAGTATGTTGTCGGAATGCTTCTTATAAGCATGGATTGGATGGCTTGTCAGGAGAAGAGAATGCATGAAGCAAAGTCTAGGTTAGTACATGAGGAGAACCTGCTTCAGTCTGCTAAGGACTTAAAACTGTAATGAAATATCACCTTCCACCAGGACAGTGACCCAAAGCATAAGGTCAAATGAAAGTTTGTGACCGAATCAAAATCCTGACTTTAATCCGATAGAAAGTCGGTAGCAATTCCTGTCCCTCAATGATCCCCAACTGACTGGACAGAACTTGAGCATGTTAGAATAAATAAAAAGGTGAAAACTGCACCATACTAGTGTGCTACAGACCTACCCAAAAAGATTCACAGCTTTAATTGCTGACCAAAGTGTTTCCACATAGTGGAATGGAGGAGCACATGAGGGAGCCACACAGAGCCTATCCCTGCAAACGGGTGCAAGGCAGGATACACCCTGGACAGGATACCAGTCCATCACAGGTCACAGACACAGACACAGACACAGACAGTCACACCAGACCCATTTCCTCAGAACCCAATTAACCTGCCAGTACTGTACATCTGTGGACTATGGGAGGAAACTGCAGTA